ATGAAGTGTTTACTAGAGCTAGGACTGCTACAGAAGCTACTGTGTACATCACGGTGTATGTGTATTTGTGTATTACAGGCTATGAAGTGTTTAGTAGAGCTAGGACTGCTACAGAAGCTACTGTGTACATCACGGTGTATGTGTGTTTGTGTATTACAGGCTATGAAGTGTTTGGTAGAGCTAGGACTGCTACAGAAGCTGCTGGTACAGGAGCTGCTAGTGGATGTGGCTCCGTTCCTGTGTCACCCCGGCGTGTGGGTGAGGCAAGGTGCGGTAGGGTTCGTTACGTCGGTCGCGCGCACGCTCAACGTAGCGGACGTACACTGCAAGCTGTTGCCGCTGCTACAGCCCTTCCTCAGCCGACCTGTGATACAAGTACAGAGTGAGGTGGGTCAGTTATACCGATCGGTGTGTTATATAGGTGAGTATGTTATGTAGGCAAAGCAAGTGAGTTATACAGCTGATTTATACAGCAGCGTGAGTCATACAGGTAAGTTAATTTTACTGCTGAGTGCGATATGTGTGTACATAACGAAATAAGAGAGTTTTACGTGCGAGTCACTTATACGGGTGAGTGTGTTGTACAGATGATTGTGCCATTCAGGTGAGTGCGTTATGCAGGCAAAGAATGAGGTAAGGGAATTATATAGAAGGGTAAATTATAGGCAGGTGAGTTAGTTATATAGACAAGTCAGTTATACAGGTGAGTGTGTTAAATAGGTGCATAATATAGTTACGTGAATTATGCTGCTTAGTTTTTTGCTTATAGGTTAGTAGTCGGGTGTTGTTTGACATCTGCCTACATATTAGTTGTGTGCGAACAATGTGGTCATCTGTTTACATATTATTCGGTTAATTAGTAGTCTGTTTCCATGTTGGTTGTCTGCATACAGTTTGGTCATTTGTTTTCTTTTCTTGAAATAAGTTTATCAGGTTTCATGATAATGAACGTTAAAGTTGATTTTCTTTTATGATAAATTGAATCATATATTACTGAATCTATTAGATTTGGTTTAATATATAGATAAAATTACTTTTAACGTCGATTTATGTGATAGCATTGTGATAGTTGATTTAACCATTTGTTGGGGAAATGGTTGTCAGCTGATGTGTTTGTTGCCTGTGCGCAAGCATTAAATATTAAATTGTATCTGCTCACTAGTTTCTCTGGCTGCCTGTAGGTGGTGCTGCTGAGTGTGCTGCAGCCACCCGTGCAGCGTGCTGTGTTTGACTACATGCTCAGCCTGTCCACTATCGGTGCAATGCTTGACCATCTACAGGACCGGCAGCTTGTACGTAACCTAATGAGGCAGGGACACCGACCCAGCTATGCTGAACTAGACAATGGTAGCCTATCACAGGTATGTTATAACCATCCCCCACCCCCAGTTGTATCTCATACGTGGCATCGCATTGAAACCAGCCTGAGTACTGAGTGCTTGTCAGGCTCTGTTAGTTAACCATATCACTGAATCAAATGGGTGCGTTACTCCTACAACAAGCTAAACATATTTCTTAACCCTAACTGCCTAATAACAGTATGTTGAATACCATCATTATCTTGTCCTAACACTATAGTCCATATAGCAGATATGGCATTGCACTGTGCATCGGGTAATACAAGCATGAAATCTGGGATGCAGCTAGTGAATCTACTAAAGAAATACGTACATATATGACCATTGTGTACGCCTGCAGCAGAAATGCCATTCTATGATATTCCCACTAATAAAATAAACAATGAGTAAACTTGGGGTGTAAATCGTTGCAGTCAAACAGAAACATACGTAACCCATATAAGCAGTCGGCGGTGCAGCATGGTAGGTGGTAACTGTAAGTACATACAAGGGCGACACGCCATCTTAACGATGGTCGTCATTTCGCCTGAACCGTGACGGTTCTCTCATCGGCTCTGCAGACGTACAACAAGCTCGTGTCGCTGGGCATGACGGAGGGGGACGAGGATAAGATACTGTCGCTGCGAGATACGATGATGAAGCTGCATCGTGCGCGGGGATGTGTGCCAGACAGCCGTCACCACCCCCAGTCCCCCGACTCACGGCCCGGTGCTCTCAACCTAGCCACCATCCTAGACAAGAGCGGCAAAATGGCGCTGCCTTTGAGGCAGGAACTACTGGCGCCCTCTGTGGACGGGCAGGTGAGTGTTTGTTTTTTGCGTGTTTTGGTTAGGACGTTGTTTTCGAGGTCTGGGGATGTTTGTTGGGGAAGGGGGCGCGTGTGACATATTTTGCCTGACAACTTTTACCTGATGGTAGTAAAGTCTTGTGTGCGCTCTATTACTACGTTTTTCTGTGCTGCAACCTACCTAGACCTTTCTCTATAAGACCTTAGTCGAACATTTATGAGTTTTATCGATTTATTTCTGTGTTTGAGTTGCAAAGCAAACCTCCCAGCATATGGCCAGTTTGTGAAATCAGGTGGCTTTATGCGATCCATGCAGTGTCAGCAGTTGTGATAGGAGATAGTGTGTGATTGAGCAACCCACATGCTAAGAAGCTCCACTTTTGATATTCTCTAAACATACGTTGCTTTTTAGCTCATCTGACATAGTCAGAATTGCAAGCTTGGTAGAGTGCTATAGATCGTCCGTCGTCGAGCGTCGTTCGTCGGGTCGTAGTCCGTCGTCCGGTCAACAGTTTGGGCCAATCCTTAATCGCTCGAGTACGGTCGATATTCGGGAGAGGGGGGGTTAATCCGCAAACGAGTTGGGATGTCGAAAGCTGGGCGGGCAAAGAGTCGAAAGGTCAAGCAGGGTTGTCACAAAGAAGGGGAAGCTTCAATCCTTGAACTTAAGGTCTATAGGGAGGAAAAGCAGAATTGCCGGACAATCATAATACGGCTCGACCTAGGACCTTTGGAATGAGTCGTGTTATGCATGGATGGTAGGAAAAGCATACTGTGCCGAAATTGGAGGTAAGGTCAAAGGTCCAATGGGGGCACAGGGCAGATTTTAGACATTTTCTGAGGACATAGTGTCGACGAGATCAGCGATTGGAAAACTTTTTTCTGTTTCACGGTGACCTAGCTTTTTATGGCTTTAGTTGAAAGGACATGAAAGTATGTTTCCACCTGAAATTGCGAAGAGTACATTAAGTGTCGGATGAATTTGACCCATAAAGAGGAGGGGCTTAAAAAATTTGAGATTTGATTCGGAGATGATCACCTGAAGTAGTTGTGTTATTGTACCTTTGATAGCAGTGAAGTGTTTACAAGAGTCAGACTCGATCCCCAGAATCGACTGCTTTATTCAGAGAGTTATTGTGGAAAATAGATCTTGACTACGTATCTAGTGGTGACGGTTGGGACATGAGGAGTCATGGTTGGAATTGGGATGGTTGAGTGGTCTGACGTTGCCGACCCTTGTGATTGATTTGTCTTGCGAGGGTCTCACTGCACTGAAGACAGTATTTCGAAGATAAGGAATTTTTCAAGTGTCGCTTTTTTACCTGTCTCGTTTAGATTGCATGCATTATGAGTAGACTGGTTAGCCTCTAAGTTGATTACTATTACAAGGGATTGTGGCGGCGTATTAGACGAGTACAGTGGTTAGAGGCCAGTGATGCATTCGGTCTATGTAGGCATGTCGCGTCCGGAGAGATAATGGTTTGACGCACTGCCGGATAGGCATAGTTACCACCAACCGAGAAACTAGCGCTGTCGTGGGTGTTTGGGCTAACGGGATGAGGACGGTGAGCTTGATGTCCATTCGTTCCTGGGAACGGCCGTTATGGCGTGACTACAAGCAAGATATGCAGTAAAGAGAGAGCACCGGTACTGGTGCGAGAACAGTATCCAGTGTTTTGAATAATTGTGGGGTTGCAAAGGCCAATGTTTGATTGTGCAATTGGACAACTTGAGTCTGTATCGAAAGAGCTCCTTAACGATGCCATAAGCTTGATTTTCTACGTTGCAGACGAAGGTTGCTCGCTATAGCGCACCTCTCCGCGTGGGGCGTTGAGAAGGCTAAAATTGATGAAAGGTTCAACGCTCGAGTGAATGCTCGCATGAGGCAAAAACGAACAGCAGCCATGGCTGGCACGCTTTAATCATAATTGTTTGCTGGCCAACCTGGCCATGACCTGTTAACTCACAGTCTGATGCAATGGCGCTGAATATACTTACTTCGTGATTTGTAGCTGTAGCCTACTTAGGATGTCAGGACGATGCCATCTATTGATTTTCATTAACTATGCACGGCGTGTTTCATTCGCGGCGATGGCTTAGGGGCACGAAACTATTTAGGCTAGCTATTTGAGGGTGGGGAGGTATTTTCCATGGTGACTGATTGTGGGATAGGAGCGGCGAGATAAAGATGCAAGTAAACTGATTACCTTAATATATAATATTCTTTACTTTTCATCTTGAATCTTAACATATATCATGTAGCTATGCTGCGTGATCGATTTACCATGTGTCGGAACATAAGGCTTGTTTATATAGAAATATTAGAGACATATTATATTTATGATTTCATGGACTGTTACATCAGGGCATAGCGAAGAGAAAGCATTATTGAGGGCGGCAGTATAGAGGCGATCATCGCTTGGGTATTTAACTTTTTTTTATATAATTAAGCGAGGAGAGAGAAGAGAGTCCTAAGATAAAGAGTGTAGAGTCGTAAATGGGGAGACGGGAGACAGCGAAAACGGTTGATTACGGTGTGGTATGCGAAGCGGAACGTGGGTACAATTAGGTCGTGCGAGATGGTGTGCCAAGGGGGAGGGGGGACAGGGGGGAGGTCGAGCAGGGGGCCGGGTGAATGGGAAGGTAAGGGGTGGAAGTAAGAGGAAGGGGGGGGTGAAGTGGCGAGGCAGGGGAGGGGGAGGAGGAGGTGGCGAGAAGGCTCCCCGCCCCCTATATTATTTGGAGATCTGATGCTATATGTATGCAATGCTTCTATAGTAAGATAAAAATAGATAGCTGTGAATTATGACACAAATTCGAATGAAAAAGGCAAGTATTATAATAAAATAAGAACCAAATCGCCGACCATCGGGGCGGGAGTAAGTGAGGTGACCTAACAAATGATGTGTAGCGCAAACTGCGTATCTGCATATCTGCGCCTCAACAAAATGTGTCACTACGCACAACTGAAAATTGTGTAAGTTCATAACCGTGAGCAACAGACCCAGATGAGCCAGCGCTCTGCGATCTTGTATAAATAAAGTGCATACTAAACTTTATATAAAAAAGAAATGAGATCTACTTCAGCTACTGAAAACTGCAGCTTTTACGAAGATGTTTAATTTCATGTGTCTATAATAGAGTTGATCGTATTTGTGGCATGTGTGTGTGTGGTTGTGTGGCAGGGAATGTGGTGGTGTGTGGGGCGGGAGCACGCAGGCTGAATGTAGTCGAGTCGCCTGTCATCTCCATGAACGAGGAGTGGCAGCACATGTTCGGATCGACGGACACCAAGACGCACCTACTGGTAAGACGGAGAATCGTCCAGCCGCTGGCTCAACGCCACCTACAGGTAGGGGATGTAATCGCATAATTTGTTTGTCAGCTGGGGTATTTTTACAGTGTTCCTTTTATCTTTTGCTCATGCAAATGTATAACCTACCTTAATAGCAACCAAATATTAAAACCAGTGTCGTAGAGTGGGTGCTCATTTGAGAGAGGGCAGAGAAAGAAAGAGAGACGAGAGCGAGAGATGGACACGACGGGCGAGAGAGACCCGACCGAGAGCAGAGGCGACCCGAGAGAGAGACGGGATAGAGAGAGATGGATGAGAGAGATGAGCTGAGAGAGACCGGGAGAGAGAGCTGAGAAGCAGAGAGAGCACAGAGAGGAGAGAGAGTATTTTTAGAGAGAGTGAGAGAGATAGAGAGCGCGAGAGAGAGAGAGAGAGAGAGGGGGGAGACAAAGAGCAAGAGAGAAAGAGAGGAGAGAGAAGGGAGAAGAGTTGTCATCAGGAGTACTACCGTTGTCAGTTAACAATAGTCCCATCCTATTGTATTCGGTCTCTGGTTAGATATATCATCAACTACTCCGCCAATTCGTGATTGCATAACACATACTTCTTTACCAAATTAGGACATAGATTAGACGTTAGATCACTCTGTACCATGTACTCAGTAACATCAGGGGTTAATATTGAAAAACAACACAACATAAACAAATTTGTCATTATCGACCCCTGGTAACATGTACTCAGTACTGATATACTCACACTGATGTATTTAATATCGTGTACTCAGTGCCGTTTGCTAAGTGCTGTCTACTAAATACGGTGTAATTAGTACTTGTGTACTGACAGTAACTGAGTAACTGTGTCCTAACAGTACCAAGCTCCGAGGGTGAAAGAGAGCAGAAGGTTGTGCAGTCAGAGACAGTGGCTCCCTCTACTGATGCACAGCAGCCGTCTTCAGACGCCCTCGCACAAGCCCCTGATGTTCCACCGCCGCAGCGTAAGACAGAGAGGAGCAATCTACAAGGTATTCTGAATAAATGCTGGAGATAGGTGGCCATTCATGATGCATGCTATAGATATAATGGCCGTAGCTATGCATGCTACATACAAGATAAATGCTATCAGGAGAATAATAACAGGAATAAAATGTGCCATACAGTCATAACAAGGAAAATTCGATATTTACTAGCAATTTCCTACCTATGACTTTGTCATGCATGACCTAAACATGAATCAGAAAGTAGCAGTGTGCTTTCCTCCATATTGTTTTTCCATACATAATCACATTTCAGAGATGTAGAGAAAATTTACGACCCAGTTTGCGATAATTCTTACTGTTTGGACAAACTCTATACACTGCCGAATAATCAACAAACGGCAGTGACACCAACCTAATAAATTTACCAAGTTAACCCTTTAGGTACCGTAGCGCCCGTGAACGCCCGCTCTATAGATTACCAGAACGCCCGCCGACGCCCGTAAGCACTAGTCGTACTATAACCCCATCTATAGTCAAACCCATGAATGAATCGCTCTGCTACTCGTCCTGCGACTGCCTACGATTACTAGTAAATGTATGGAGGTCTTTGATTGGGTGGTTTCCATTTGAAGTAAGCGAATTACAGAGCGTCTAAGAACGGGAAATTGTGCAGTGATGCGTGAGGACGCCATCGGCGTCCATCGCCATTTTACGAATGTGCGAACGAGTATTACAGCAAAAACGATCGCAAATTATCATGTCTTCTCGGCGTTATACTGCTGCTATGGTTGCTGAAATGATCGCCAATGATGACGAGACAGATGATGAATATCCTGGTGGAGATTCAGGGTCTGATATCAACGTAAATAGTGAGGTAAGACGACGTTTATGTCACATTCTCATGTCAACATGATTTTACTGCGTAGTTAGTATAAGTAGTATGACAAGACACCCTAAAATATCGCTAGATTTTCATACTTGATGGC